TTAATTATAATTTTGTTACAATTCTTCTACTGTCAAGAAATTTTAAATTAGAGTACAAGTTTTTGAAAAAATTTTGTCTGAGTTATGCAAAGTCAGAATTAGAGAGGATTTAGCCAACCAAAATTGGGTCTAGATTAAGAAACACTTCCACAAAAAAAAAAACCATTCAAATTTTTTTTTTCTATTATTAACTTTAGTCTCCAATAAGCAAGTATATATTTATTTGTTCCTTTAATGGCTGAGCCAGCCAAAGCTTATAGGAAAATGATCATTAAATTATGCAAGATGAGAATGAAGTTCGAATTTCTTAAGCAATGTCATTTATACGGAGTTTTCCCGATGTCAATCCATCGAATTAGCCTTCCTATAGAACAGTGTTTCTCAACCTCTAACGAATAATCGCCCCTTCAATAAAACCATTACATAGTATCGCTCCCTTTACTTCAAAATTCCGATGCCAAGGGACAAGAGTAACGCCAAATTCGTACTGCATTGAACAGACAAGTGACTAGTATAATGTTATTTGTTTAATTATTGTACGATATAACGAATAAAATATCTAATTATTCTTAATATAATGTTTTACTATATCGCCCAGAAAATTGTTTTTCGCCCCCAAAATATAAATTGTTACTAATCGCCCCCTCAACATGAAAAAAACACCCACATGGGGGCGATATCGCCCCCGTTGAGAAACACTCAGTTTGTTACCTAAGTTGAAGTTTTTGTGCCTCATTAGAATAGCAAGACGACGTTTTTATAGACTACTGCGTGGTACCATAAAATTGGAAAATGATCTATATAAGGAGGGAAGGAGGGACAGGCTATTCTAGAAGACCTTAACAGTAGAGTGATCAATTTGGAACATTCTTTAGAAACAAGATTGAAATGCACATACGTTAAAAAGCTAAAATGGCTGTTTAAGTGCCAGAATATTAAACCACGAGTGAAAAAAGAAATATATTTAACGACTTGGGACAACATTGTTCCTAACCAATGCTTGATAAACACCTTGGAATACGGCCCTTCTTTTGCACCGACACCATCGTTATGACCGGAGAGCCTTATACCGAACGTTGAGATACTCATAAAAGATATGAATGTAACTTCGCAAGAGTATTGCAAATGGAAAACAAGATTATATGCCAAAAAGGAGCAATGTACTAACAGGACCACTTTACTTTTCCAAAGGCACATTAAAGAAATGAAGGAATGACTCCAAAAACACGATATAGTTCTCATAAAGGCTGATAAATCAAAGGGTGTTATACTCATCAAACGGAGCTCTTATAGAAAAAAGCTACATGAGTACTTCTACAGCACAGAGTGTATTCTTGCCCTGGGTAATTACTTGGAGACCTTACAACAAAGGGTGAGGAGATTTACCCTTACTCCTTTAGCCAATTATCTGGAGATGAGGCCTGCGTCTTTACAGGCTCCCAGGACGCCAAGAATTTTTGCCTTCGGGAAAACCCATAAATCTGGTTTGCAAATACACTCTGTGGTAGAAAAATGTAATGCTCCAACTTTCAGAATAGAAAAACAACTAGTTAAATTTATACAAAGGAATATGCAGGTTTCACCTTTATCGATAATAAGGCATTATACCCGTCAATCAAGCTGCCTCCATACTTTTGTGCCCTGAGAGACTTTTTATTCAGTAATGTTAACAACGCTTTCAAATACCACAGGCAGATTTTGGAGTTAGCGGACTTGATTTGTCACACGTCTTTCTTTGAGTTTGAGAATAAAACTTATCTACAGGGACGGGGGTTACCAATGGGTAGCCCCATGTCGTAAGTACTCTGAGAGTTGGTACTCCGTAATCTAGAAAACAGTATCCTCCCTTCGTTACAACAGGATATACTGGTATACGTGAGATATGTTGACGACATCTTTATTTTGTAGAAGGATAATCGCAGCACCAAATGTTTTATAGATCTAATAAACAGTAACCCATATGGTTTAACCTTGGAATTAGAGCAACAAAGTAATATTACCGTTAATTTCTTGGATCTAACTATAACACACGTAGAAGGGGAAATCCAAACCAGTATATATTATAAACTGACATCTCTCCCCATCATTATCCCTAAGAATTCAGCAGATCCAGAGCATATCAAAATGGCAGTGTTTCACTCTTGGATAAGGAGAGCACACACATTGCACAGACGTTTGTGACACTGTTAAGGAATTACAATATATCCGAAGAACAGCCTTAAAGCATGGCTACAGAAGAAAAAGAATAGAAGCTCTCATTAAGAAAGATAGTAATCTTACACATAAGCAGCATTAGGAAAGAGACAGGGCCGAACTCGGACGTATAGCCTGTGGTAAGAAGGAAGTGAAGATAGGGTAGAAGAAGTTCAGAGTATGGAGGGGCTGAAGGAGGGGGTAAGTGTGATAGGATAGTGGGAAGTGAGGGAAGGTGGGTCATGGGACCCACTGGCACCTTGCATCGCCTATATTTAAAAGAAAATTAATACAGTGTGGACAATAAACAATACAGAATGAGCCGGATGGGTACAACACAACTGAAAAGGTGCGACAATGTAAACATGTATAACAGATTACAAGCAAAGCTATTAAACAAATTAACTTCAGTTAGCAGGAGTACATTAACAGAGGAAACAGATGAAGCTGTTTGGTGTAAAACATAAAACTGCGGAACATATAGAACAGCTTATCCAATTTATTACAGAATGAACCATTAAAGCAATATACTCTAGATTACACAGTTGACACATACAGAGAGAGGAGACGATGAACTTCTAGATGGTCAGTTGAGGGTGATCATAGATTGCAGAGTGGGACTAGTCGAGCTTCCTGATACCTGTAGCAAATCTTTTTATCGCTGAAAAGTTTTTCTTGTCAGAAATCAAGTCCTTAAGCATACAGGGCCAGTGGAAGCCGTTGTCCTTGATGGTACGAATTAACTCCTTGCGTTGCGTAGAGTAGTGTGGGCAGAAGAAGATTATGTGCTCAGGATCTTCCTCCTCCTTCAAATCGCAGTCACAGAGCCCGTCCGTTTTATTGAGAAACCTTTTTAGGTACGTGTTCAGGTTTCCGTGACCAGTTAGGAGCTGTGTCAACTGAAATGTGGGATATCTTGGATGAAGCATGCTGTCAGTGGGGCAAGGAAGGAAGCAGTGGGTAAGCCTCCCAGTAGAACCGTTGTCCCACCTGACTTGCCAAGTCTTTAGAATGATGTTGTGGATAAGATTGTTCAGATGCTTACTACTTATCTTGTTGTAGGTGCAGCTATTAGATTTTGCGAATGCACAACGAGCGAGAAGATCAGCCCTATCATTCCCCGCACTCCCTGAATAACCTTTAATCCAGTGAAAGTAGACGTTGATGTTTCCTTTCTTCCGGGCTTGTAGATTGCCAAGACACTTCTTCACAATGGGAAGAGTGGTGTTTATTTACACATAAGCAAAAGGAAAACTGCCAAAAAGAAAAAGTGGTCCTCCATTACATACCCTTCCTGAAATTGTTTCTTAAGAGGATTTCTAAAAATAGGAACTTACAAATAATTTATCGACGTAATCTCACTATATACAGGTTATTAAGGAATGACAAGGGAACTTATGAACGTAACTCTTTAACAGGAATATACTCAATACCACTAAGAGATCATAGATTCAACTCTAACTTAGTGTATATAGGGGCAACGTTAAGAAATTTGAAGAAAAGAATCAATGAGCATAAGCTATCGGTGAACAAAACCATCGACAGTACAGTCCTTGCCAGTTATGCCAAGCAATCACAGTTTTCTGGGACCAGGTTTCTATCATAAAAGCCACTAGATCTAAACATGCAGTAATGTATCTGGAAAAATTGGAAATTCACAGGGCACAGAAGAGCACACAATGCATTAACTATACGGATGCCGATGGGCTTTCGTCCACTTGGAAATCTTTTTGTGATGAAGTGGCTTAGTTCTATATAAAGGCTTAAGCTTAAGATGGCTCTTGATAAATAATTTATTTATTTATTTATTATTTTAAACATACGGAAATTTTTTTATGTGTAGTGCTTTTATTAATAACGTGTCACTTTTTAATATTTGTATAACCATTTATTTGAAATTTTGCTTGCATAATTTTTCGAATTCTGCATTCGATTTTAGAGAAATAACTGAAGATGGATGCTTAATGCGTTTGAAAACATTCTTATGTTATTAAAGAATTATGCTGGAATTTTGAATGGCTTTTTATATTATTGATGATGTTAAGTGAAGAGTTTCTGTATATGCAGAAATGTAACGTGTAGACTAGATCATGTTAAATTCATATAACCTATACTCTAAACAGTGGTGTAACGAACATAACTCGTGCCCAGGGCACAACATTTTATTGGTGCCCCTCACCCCTTTAGAAAGAAATCTTGTTTGTCTTGCAGTCCATTTGGCGCCCCTCTGTGAGTGGTGTCTGAGGCGTGATAGACCCCCTTGCTCCCCCCTCACTACACTAGTTACTCTAAATGCAAGCATAAACTCATCCTTACCGAGAATTGTGAAATATACTGTGCCACATAATATTAATAGGTATTGTGTTTCATAATTTTAAAATATTTTAAACCATTTTATGATAACTTTTTAATATTTTCACCATTTGACAGTTTACACAAACCAAATACATTCAAATAAATTGTCAATTGACTGCTAATGGTAAATGATACCAAACAATACAAATTAACAATAGCTGAAATCAAATATCATCATTTAATAACATGGTAAATTCCATTAAATGTTATCATGTCATATCATTTGATCACTTCAAATTGTTTTATCAGTCGATAGCATTTGATATTAGTTGATTGATCAATTGAAACTATCTAAAAAGCACTTCGGGAATAATGAAACAATTTGAAACAGAAGATGAGAAGGATAAATGAATTATTTGAAAGTAGTGTTTGCTGTTTAACAATAATAATCACAAAAAAAAAATTCAAAATGCCTTTTAAAAATTAATATAAATTTATTTTTATTTTTTCAGCAGATACAACAGTTCCTCTCTTGCAAGTTAATGATCCATCTGTGCAAAATACAATTTTAGGTAAGTTGGAGTTAAAATAATAAACAGTTAAACATTTTATTTTATTTATTTACTGTTAACATCAGCCAGATAGCTGCACGATATGATGTTAACATGCCTTGGAAGATCAGAGTTTGTACTTATTCTTGATGTGCATAATTTATCATAGGCAATATAAATTGGGAATTGTTTTTCATTCTTCATCCATCTGGCTGATCCATTGTTAGTCAGACCAGCCAAGTAATTGGTTTAGTTGTGGTCATACAGCTACAAGGTGCAAGTGCCTAGTGATAATCAATCAAAGCTACTATGAAAAGTGGAAGAAGTTGTTCAATCTCTTAATCTTGAAGAATCATTAAAAGTTGAAAGTCATTTAAGTTGTGTTTCTTTGCTATTTATTATCTCTAAAAAGAGATAATAAATAGCAAATTTTTTTATTGCTCTTGAGCTTGAATATTTTGAAAATAATTAAATTATAGAATTCATATATTATAAATTCAAATATATCGGGTCTTGCAAAAAGAATGCTACCATTTTAAATTACTATAATTATGTTAATTATTAACCAAGAAGTACGTAATGTACCAGGGCTGTGGAGTTGGAGTCGGAGTCGTGGAGTTTTGGTGTTTTAGCCGGAGTCGGAGTCAGATGGTAAGGAAAAGTCTGAGTCGGAGTTGGAGTCGGTAGATTTTTACGCGACTCCATAGTTCTGGCAGGACTGTGGATTCGGAGTCGTGGAGTTTTGGTGTTTTAGTCGGAGTCGGATTGGTAAGGAAAAGTCAGAGTCAGAGTTGGAGTTGGTAGATTTTTACGCGACTCCACAGCCCTGTAATATACACTGATCGATAGAATAAATTCTGAGTTTTGTTTACCATCTGCATACAAATGTTGGTTTGTTTCTTGCCTCTAGGAAGTGCCATAATTATCATTGTGTAACATGAATGTTTTCCTTACCTATTGGATCAGTTTGAAATTATCTGTAAAACTCAAAGAATTGTAGAAAATCATGTAGCACAATGATGACTGATTCTGACTTTGTGAACTGAAGATCTTAAAATGCTTTTTTTATGTTGTGGTGTTTTCATTTTTGTTTATAGCCTTTCCTAGATACAACAGACAAAAACACATCTGTATACAAATGGTAAATAAAACTTGGACATTTACTCTATTAATTGATGTACATCACATTCTTCTCAGGTAATAATTAACATAATTACAGTAATTTAATATGATAGCATTCTTTTTAGAAGATCCTGTATACATTCTTTTCTTTTTATCACAATTTAAGATACATTACAATAATTAAAGACAAACACAATCCAATACAGTCATACCTTGGTTTTTTAACATAATTTATTCCTAAAAGTTCTAAAACTGAAACAAATTTTAAATTTTTCCATAAGAAACAATTGTGACTCACCATTTTCTCCAAAATTTTGGTTGTTATTATATATTATACATGAGAAATAACTGAAGATGGATGCTTAATGCGTTTGAAAACATTCTTATGTTATTAAAGAATTATGCTGGAATTTTGAATGGCTTTTTATATTATTGATGATGTTAAGTGAAGAGTTTCTGTATATGCAGAAATGTAACGTGTAGACTAGATCATGTTAAATTCATATAACCTATACTCTAAACAGTGGTGTAACGAACATAACTCGTGCCCAGGGCACAACATTTTATTGGTGCCCCTCACCCCTTTAGAAAGAAATCTTGTTTGTCTTGCAGTCCATTTGGCGCCCCTCTGTGAGTGGTGTCTGAGGCGTGATAGACCCCCTTGCTCCCCCCTCGCTACACTAGTTACTCTAAATGCAAGCATAAACTCATCCTTACCGAGAATTGTGAAATATACTGTGCCACATAATATTAATAGGTATTGTGTTTCATAATTTTAAAATATTTTAAACCATTTTATGATAACTTTTTAATATTTTCACCATTTGACAGTTTACACAAACCAAATACATTCAAATAAATTGTCAATTGACTGCTAATGGTAAATGATACCAAACAATACAAATTAACAATAGCTGAAATCAAATATCATCATTTAATAACATGGTAAATTCCATTAAATGTTATCATGTCATATCATTTGATCACTTCAAATTGTTTTATCAGTCGATAGCATTTGATATTAGTTGATTGATCAATTGAAACTATCTAAAAAGCACTTCGGGAATAATGAAACAATTTGAAACAGAAGATGAGAAGGATAAATGAATTATTTGAAAGTAGTGTTTGCTGTTTAACAATAATAATCACAAAAAAAAAATTCAAAATGCCTTTTAAAAATTAATATAAATTTATTTTTATTTTTTCAGCAGATACAACAGTTCCTCTCTTGCAAGTTAATGATCCATCTGTGCAAAATACAATTTTAGGTAAGTTGGAGTTAAAATAATAAACAGTTAAACATTTTATTTTATTTATTTACTGTTAACATCAGCCAGATAGCTGCACGATATGATGTTAACATGCCTTGGAAGATCAGAGTTTGTACTTATTCTTGATGTGCATAATTTATCATAGGCAATATAAATTGGGAATTGTTTTTCATTCTTCATCCATCTGGCTGATCCATTGTTAGTCAGACCAGCCAAGTAATTGGTTTAGTTGTGGTCATACAGCTACAAGGTGCAAGTGCCTAGTGATAATCAATCAAAGCTACTATGAAAAGTGGAAGAAGTTGTTCAATCTCTTAATCTTGAAGAATCATTAAAAGTTGAAAGTCATTTAAGTTGTGTTTCTTTGCTATTTATTATCTCTAAAAAGAGATAATAAATAGCAAATTTTTTTATTGCTCTTGAGCTTGAATATTTTGAAAATAATTAAATTATAGAATTCATATATTATAAATTCAAATATATCGGGTCTTGCAAAAAGAATGCTACCATTTTAAATTACTATAATTATGTTAATTATTAACCAAGAAGTACGTAATGTACCAGGGCTGTGGAGTTGGAGTTGGAGTCATGGAGTTTTGATGTTTTAGCCGGAGTCGGAGTTGGAGTTGGAGTCGGTAGATTTTTACGTGACTTCCACAGCCCTGGCAGGGCTGTTGAGTCGGAGTCGTGGAGTTTTGATGTTTTAGCCGGAGTCGGAGTTGGTAGATTTTTACGCGACTCCACTGGAGTCGGTAGATTTTTACGCGACTCCACAGCCCTGATTTATTCAAAAAGCANTGTGGATTCGGAGTCGTGGAGTTTTGGTGTTTTAGTCGGAGTCGGATTGGTAAGGAAAAGTCAGAGTCAGAGTTGGAGTTGGTAGATTTTTACGCGACTCCACAGCCCTGTAATATACACTGATCGATAGAATAAATTCTGAGTTTTGTTTACCATCTGCATACAAATGTTGGTTTGTTTCTTGCCTCTAGGAAGTGCCATAATTATCATTGTGTAACATGAATGTTTTCCTTACCTATTGGATCAGTTTGAAATTATCTGTAAAACTCAAAGAATTGTAGAAAATCATGTAGCACAATGATGACTGATTCTGACTTTGTGAACTGAAGATCTTAAAATGCTTTTTTTATGTTGTGGTGTTTTCATTTTTGTTTATAGCCTTTCCTAGATACAACAGACAAAAACACATCTGTATACAAATGGTAAATAAAACTTGGACATTTACTCTATTAATTGATGTACATCACATTCTTCTCAGGTAATAATTAACATAATTACAGTAATTTAATATGATAGCATTCTTTTTAGAAGATCCTGTATACATTCTTTTCTTTTTATCACAATTTAAGATACATTACAATAATTAAAGACAAACACAATCCAATACAGTCATACCTTGGTTTTTTAACATAATTTATTCCTAAAAGTTCTAAAACTGAAACAAATTTTAAATTTTTCCATAAGAAACAATTGTGACTCACCATTTTCTCCAAAATTTTGGTTGTTATTATATATTATACATATTTGTGAATTATTATTAACATTAACTTTATAATTTTAATTTGAATCAACTTATTTTAATTTTAAGCTAATGATGTATTCTCTTTAAATAATAAGTTGGAAATTTTATTGTATTTTAAGGTATATATGTATTTTAAATCCTTTTTTTTTTTTTTTGTTTTGTCTGGTTGTTCATCAAACAATTATTAGCTATCAGACAAGATGCCCTCTGCACCCACATCTTGAAGATGTGTGTATGAATGCGACACCGGGATTGTTTATGTTTATCAAGCAACGTTATAAAGGAATTTCGCCTATTTTTCCAATTTTAGGAACCCTCCTTCTAAATCTTTAGCAATAGTGATTAAAAATAATTAAGAGAAACAAATTAGAGTAAAAAAAAAATGGTCAATTAATTGTTATAAATCTCGCAACATTCAGAGGAAAAGACTAAGGGGATGACCATCGTTTTCCCCTTTTCCCATAATGTTAGATGACATGTTACTCTATCCATATCACATGGACACACAACATTCATAATGGACAAGAGAGAAGGTACTAAAGAATAACCAATCATGCTTATTCTTCTTTACCTCAACTTCCTCTGGAATGAAGTCATGATTGGTCAGAAAGAACAATAAAACAGAAGGGAAAGAGGAAGAGAGTGAAAGTGAAAGTGAAGGAGAGAGGAGAGAAAGCAGAAAGTGGGAGAAAAGGAAGAGAGGATAGGAGAGTGAACACAACATCCAGAAAGAGAGTCAACTCTGAGAAAAGAGAGCCAACACAATAGTAGAGAACCGCACCAGAGGAGAGTGTTAAATATGGAGGAAATAGAGTCAGCAAAAAGAGAGAGTTAAGGAAAAGGATAAAAGTGCAAATGGAACAGAAAAAGAGATAGAAGGTCTTTGAAGAGAAGATAACTTTTTTCCTGATATGTTGTGAGTTGCGACGTTTTGTATACCTCCTGTTACGTACCCTCCATTTACAAATATAGAAACAGGCTAACTTCCAAAGACAGACTTTGTATTTAGTATTAATTTGAACCTAATTCTAATGTTATGTTTAGTTTTTCTGTAATAAATTTTCCTTCTTATTCTTAAGTTGGTTAAA